TGTCTCGGAGAGGCCAAATGACCTTTGCTATATTCTTTGCTCGGATCAGTTTCAGACAGTCAAGGCAGGGTTTACGTGTAGTGATGAGTTCGGCATTACACAGGTCTCTCTCAGAACTGAAAAAAAAACAATAGTGTCATAATTACAAACAAGGTGTGCTTGCAGAAGGAATTATTTCTCTTGGAATCTAGAGCTGGTTCTTCTCTTATTTTCTCTTCAATCATTGGCCAAGAGAAGTGAGTAAGTGATCTCCAGCCCATGACAAGCAAATACTTGCAGTTCGTACCATGAGCTTGCCAACTGAGGAAATGGATCTACCTATTGTGTACTCACAGCACCATAAAGACAGATACTGTGTTTATGAAATGCATATCCAGGAATCATTTCACCACCAAAACACAATCACCTGCATAATTGAGTAGGTGACAACAGAGCACAAGCTTTTGCAATATCATTGGCCAAGAGAAGTGAGTAAGTGATCTCCAGCCCATGACAAGCAAATACTTGCAGTTCGTACCATGAGCTTGCCAACTGAGGAAATGGATCTACCTATTGTGTACTCACAGCACCATAAAGACAGATACTGTGTTTATGAAATGCATATCCAGGAATCATTTCACCACCAAAACACAATCACCTGCATAATTGAGTAGGTGACAACAGAGCACAAGCTTTTGCAATATCACTGTCAGTCTACAGAGAAATTTCCCGCGGGCAGGAAACTTCATAAAACTCAGTCTGCATGTGTCAATGGATCACCCAGCTGGGATGCTCAGCATTTCCAATGGCTAAGTAATATGAGAGCCCATACAGAAGCAATAGCTCTGCAACTGGCTACTCCCATCCTCAGCACATGTGAAGACCCCTGCCCATGACTTCCCACAGGAACTGGGTTTACATAGGGTCAAAGACATGGCACTAGCAGAAACCTCTGAGGCTCTGTCACATAAGTTGAATACCTGTATTAGAATATAAGATCGCATGGACCAAGATCTCTGTAAAAAACAATTGTATTCACTGGCTTATATTCCTTTCCATGCTATGTAACATTACTTCTAATTTCTGCGCTTTGAAATTCCTATGCTAGATTAGTCAGAGAGCTTTTTCTTCATTAAGCACCCAACACCAAGCCTTCTTTTGTTTAATTCCTTCAAAATATGTGATGAGTTCCTACCTCATAATAATTGCATTAGCTTCTGCACATACAATCGCATGCTGGTAAAAATCAACATCCGCCTTCTTGCAAAATAAACTATTCATTGCCCCTTTTGGATATCCACTGTAGCCCACGGCAACCTAGAAAGAAACAACATACAAAGAAATAAAAGGTAATGTTGTTCTGGAATCTTTAGCTATTTACAGCCTAATCCAACTCCTAAAAGTTGTTAATAACTTCAGGAAGAGTTCTAATGTGATGTTTGGTAATGTTTATGCAGATCTCCATTTCAAAGTGATTAATTATAGATCTCAACTTCTTGTTAATAACTTCAGGGAGAATTCTAACCTGATGCTGTTTGGTAATGTTTATGGAGATCTCCATTTCAAAGTGGTTGATTATAGATCTCAATCATATATTTGTATGAAATGTGAAGTTTCAGAAAATTATGAATTCTTTTCTCCCCCAAAGGAAAAATTGTCTTTGTTTCCAGAAATACATTTTCCTATGAACAGTTCAGACACTTTTAGAAGAAAAGCACAATTTCCTAAACCACATAAACCTTTACTTACAATGTTGTCTTCCTTGAAAATCACCGTCCCCACTCCATTGTTATTGTCTGAGAATAAACGGTCAAATAATCACAATTATAAATTCGCACAACACTATGATATTACAACAAACCTGCTGGTCAAAAAGTATGACATTCTTACTCATGTCTACTGGTCCAGAGTTTCATTAATTCTACTTTTTCATTAATTACCTAACAGAATGAAGTGTAATCAATTAAATATGGGGGGAGGGGTGTTGCTCAGTATATTACATCTCCAGGAATATGACTAACAATTGTGTAGAATTTTTCCACACTGAGTAAATTAAGGAACTAAATTTAGTAATATTAATTTACTTACCACTTCTGGATGCTAACAAATCACAGAGCTGTAATGCATGGGTGTACTTAGGATTATTCTTTACAGTGGATTCCTTCTCTTCTAAGATTTTTATTTTTTCATCTTTGCAACTTGCAAGAGATTTAAAACAGTTCTTTGCTGTAGTAAGATTTTTTTTGTATTTTTTCAGTCGGTCATCCTTCAGGTGTTCCAAGTTAAATTCTTTTAAAATATCCCCACTAGTTTTCTTATCAAATACAGATGAAACTGGAACTAAATTATCATTAGAAGATGCTTTTTCATTTGAATGAAGTATTTCCATCTTTCTTTGGTTGGCTATTGTAGGTACATATACTGCCGCAACAACATTGCTTTCTGTAAAGATGGCATTAGCATGTTTTATGAGATTATGCTTTGAGTTTGCTATTTTGATTTCAAAATTTGGCCAGTAATACACATGTGAGACTTGTGCTGAATAAAGAAAATAGATATGTAAGATTAATATTAAATATGAAATATACTAGCAGTTGTGTTTTCCACTAACAAACATAAAGTGATGTAGAATATACTTAAGCAAGCTGCAGCTTTCCCTCACATTAATAGAATAATATTAAAATATTTTTTATTATCACATTATTTTCAGAGTCAAAAGGGAAACTTAATATACAATTGATTACTTTATATTTTTTTCCAGGTGATTAAACTTTTATCTCTACTTATGTTTACCAAACTGTAAAGATTTCCAAAGCAAGGAGATTGTTTTGAAAAGATACAGGAAGTTACTGAAGTTGTTGTAGAGGAAAAAATGTATATCATATATAACATATATATATAAAACATATATTTTGTCTCTTATTTTTTTCTCATTTAACAAGTTCTGGTGGCTCTTTTTTTCATTAATGACTTGCACTATTCCTTCATGATCCATGTGTTAGTAAATACCAACAATTTGTACAATTACATTATGAATCACATCTTAATGCTCTCTAATAATCACAGCTATCTATTGTATAAGATATTTAGCTACATCAGCTTCTGACAGGGACCTGAATGATTCATATAAGAGCCAACTGAGGAAAAATGCAGAAAGCAAAATGGAAGTAACTGAAGAGGAAGAGAAATGACTGCTGTGACTAGTTTACCAGCCTGTAAGTATGACACGTGCAGTCTTAGTCTAGGAGATATTTCAGTTTTGATACTGACCTTGAACCAGCAATTTTGCACAATAATTGCAAGGTTTCCAAGACATGTAAACTTCACAGCCTTTCAGGGCATTAGGAAACCTTAACAGCACTTTTGTCACAGCATGAAGTTCCCCTGTTGAGCAGCCCAGGGCAGTAATCCTTTTGGGCTTGCTTGGTTCACAGATGACAATTCCAGTTCTGCAATCCTGCATATACATACACAAATAAATGTACAGGTATACAAATGAAAGTATAACCATCCAGTGAATGAGAGTCCAGCCAGATTATGTGTACGTAAAGATAAAGCAATCAAAGGATCTCACAGAAAAAGAATGGCATTTGTTGCAAATGCCTAGGGATGAAGCAGTCTAGAAAATCCTTGTGAATTTTCAGACACTTTTGTTGTGTCTACAGCACCTAACTCAATTGTTGTATTCTAGATCAACCGGGCAAATGCTTTTACTGGAGTCCAGAAAGACTTAAGAGGTAGACAGACCTTTGTAAAGTCTGTAATTGTGTGTAACATCATGAAAAAAAGCAGGGAGATGGATATTCGAATAACTGGCTTACTGCAGACTACCAAAACAGGAGAAAGGAGTGACAAGGTGTAGTATCAAGCAAATGGCAACACTATTCAAAGGATACTCACCAGACATCTATGTAACTTCAAAGCTTCAAACAGCTTTGATCTACTAAAAATCCAGAGTCTAAGCATGCAATAGGTTAAAATTCTAACTGCAGGTCTGTGGCCCACAAGCAACCCACACTGGAACAGAGGCTCCTGAGGAACCACAGCCAGCAGACACCTTATGCCAGGGCAGGGCCAGTAGGAAGCATGGAAGAGCAGAGAAAACTAGGAAAAAAGTACAGAAGAGTTGCAGACAAACCATCACCTACACAGCCCCAACCTCCTGCAACACCCATCACCTCACTGAGAGTAACATAAGGTAAAAACAATGGAAGTTGAGACTAGGAAAGTGAGAGGGGTAGGTGTTTGGCTCAAGCTGAGATAAATGTTTACTTTGGTATTTAACTCTTTCTGTTCTCTTTTTCTCTTCAATACCCAATTCAGTAAACAGAAGTTTGTATTTATTGGCAATAAATTGGATTAAGTAAAAATTCTCCAAATTAAGATCACTTTGCCCACAACACCAAGTCAGTAATTTTTAAATCAAGATCCTATTTGACAATGTGGCTTTTTTTTAGCCTTGGTAACAATGAATATGCTTGAGTTGAAGTAACTCACAGATTCCTCTGATTCACTTGGTAAATTTTCCATATGTAGTGCTAAAAAGATGCACAGGTCTTCTTTCTTCAGATGAGGAATGGGAGGACCTAGAAAGAAACAGTGGACAGAAAAGCTAATCAAAACAGTCCTGCAGAAAAAAATAGGCAATGTCACACAATTAATAAATAATTACTGGTAATGAGATAGAAAGGATAATTATTTAGCTCTCTGGTCCTAGGTGGAAAGTTGGGGGAAAGGGTTATAATTTCCATGCACGTTGAATGAAAGAACTGTTTCTTAATAATGCATCAGTGCTCGATGAGCCAGTTACCCTGTAAAGAGCCTTATCTTTGCACTTCAAACATCAGCACATCTATTTATGCGTGCCAGTCCTCCGAGGAAAATGGAAATGATCATCCTAGGAGCCACTGCTTGACAGAGTGCAGAGCTATCCTGGATCTCCTTTTTTTTCTGTTTTGTTTCTTTGTGTTTTTTTTTTGGGGGGGGGGGGGGGGGGTTTGTTGTTGTTCTTTTTAAATGCTATCTACTCTTCTGTCACAGGCAATGATTTCTACTGACTTCAAGAGGAAAGAAAAAGTATGTGAATATCCAATATGCAGTCTTAGTCTAGGAGATATAGTCTAGGAGGTCTAGCCAATCTGGAAAGACCAATTCTATTGCCCTATATCATACTCTTCTTCAAAATATTTCAACTATCACAGTTGAAAATCCTCCCTTTTTTATGCCCTTTTTTTTTTTTTTTTTTGGTTAAGATTTCAATACCATTTGGTAAGACTGGTAAAAAAATGGATACAATTACTTTTACTTAAAATAAAATTAAAATTAAGACAAATATGTTGCCAGAGAGATATGTCAGAAGTTTGCACATCAGCTCTCTGTGCTGTGTAATATCCAGCTCACTACTTTCAGGCCAATTACATTTATTCAACCCTGTTTAATTAAATTAAATTAAATTAGGGAAACCAAAAACTGATGATTAGTGAAGAGTTTAGAGAATTTATTTCACTTTGCCTTCATCACTCATTCCTTCTGTTCCTTCACTGTCTTCTGAATCACTAGGTACTGGAAGACACAAAAGAAAAAAGGTTGTATTTGAAATAGCACATAAAAAGACATTACATGACGTAGAAGTTTATCAGCCCTCCCCCTCTTATTATCAACACTGACACACTATCCATTGTGAGCTGGACATCTCAGAAGTCACAATTGGTTCAGAACAATATTTGACAGTCAGGCTGGACTCTGATACTTTATTCAGAAACAATCTATATTAAGATGAATGGGAATTGCACAGATATAAAACAGTTAACTGAATTTCATGTAGAAATACATACGGCTGCCCAGTGGTGGTGGTGACAAGAGGATGGGTTGGCTTTTTGTTGTTAGGTATCTTTTTAAAGTTTGAATTTCATCTTTTTTTGTTGTTTTTGGAGATTTTATCTTCTAATTTAGTTTTGTTTCAAATGTTTATTTCAAATCTTCCAGCATATCTTCACACTCCATGAAGATGTGGTCAGCAACATTTTTGGAGATTTTATCTTCTAATTTAGTTTTGTTTCAAATGTTTATTTCAAATCTTTCTCCCTTAGTAAGAGCATTGGTGCTTCAGCTTATACATCATTAAGATTTCAAATTTCTACCTCAGTTATAACTTTATTTTTCCTTAAACCAAGCAAAAAGTATAAAGGATTTTGTGTATTCTCAAAATGTGTGGTGTTCTTAAAAACTTCTGTTACTTTTTACTGGTTGTCTACTCTAAATAAAATTGTAAGTTACTTAAGAAAATTTCAATATTGATAAGATTATTCTGTGGTAGGTGATATGACTCTCTAACTGGCATAAACCCAGTGGCATGTGGAGAAGAGTCAAGCCCAATACCTCCACAGATTTGGATAGCAGGACTTGCAGTCATATGTAAGGCTGGAAGAAATTCACAGAAAAGGCGTGAAATAAGAAAACTCACAAAGGATGCTGATTAGTCATTTTGGGGAAAAAAATGACTTAGCAAAAGAGCAGAAACCATTAACCCCAGAAACTTGCTATGTTATTCCTCTGTCTTTTCAACTGTAACCAGTTATGGGGTTTAGCCACTTACAGACCGAAAAGGCGACATTTTTGTGTAATTCTGTCTTCTGCATATTCAGAAGTACTGTGGCAGAAATGGAATCTGCAGGGTACAGGTATTTATAATGTATAGCTCTAAATGAAGGTTGGAACAAGCAGAACTAAGTTAAGGGTAACTCAACTCAATTTACAGTAATTATGTGCCATTTATAAACAGATTCTGTTGTATTTATTACATCCTGCAAAAAGGGCTTTAAAGAAAACTACTTAGTAACATACCCTACTCCTAAATTTAAACACCAGTAATACCAAAAGAAGCCAAATGAAATGGTAAAAAGGAGGAGGAAATGAATCTTAACCATACCTGCCATAAGCTGAATTTCACACTGTTTCCACTGGAATAAAAAGAAAACAAACAAAAAGGTATTTAAAGCATATGTGAACATTTACTTCATATATTCCACAATTTATCTGTTCATATCTGTCATTATATTTGTAACAGCTATTAATCAATCTAACACGAAGATTTCTTGGACCCCTGGACATATATGGGTCCTTGAAATCATTCTTGTCTGTTCCAGTTCTAATGCTTTTGTTCTCTACAGGGAGATAAAAGTCAACTACATAGCCTACTCTCCTCTAAACATTTATCCAGTTCATCAGTAGTTTTGTGTGTCCCAGTTCCCTCTTTTCCCAACTCAGACTGCTTTACTTCCATCAGATGTATCTTGAAAGTGAAGCAGTATTTTTCTACATTATCTGCTTCCACTTCTGACATACCTTCTACCTGCTTAATTATTTTTATTTATCTTTTAGTAATACCACCCTGAGTCTAATCTTCAAGATTCAAACCTACCTCATGATAGTCAAAGTTTTTCTTTAAACCATCTAGAGGATCCTAAAACAAAAAAAGAGAAGCAAATAAACCAGGCACTCACAGAATCACTGAGGTTGGAAGCCACCTCTGGAGGTCTCCAGTCCAGAGACCTGAAGGCAGGGTGAACTACAGCAGATCTGTTGGGGTCATGTCCACTCAGGTTTTGAGTATCTCAGAGGATGGGGGCTCCACAACCTGTCTGGGCAACGTGTCCCAGGGCTCATCAGCCTCAAAGCAAAAAGGCTTTTTCTTACATTTCAGTGAAATTCCCTGTATTTCAAATTGTGCCCAGTGTCTCCTGTCCAACCACTGAGAAGGCTCTGGCTCTGTCTTCTTTACTCCTTCCCATCAGGTATACACATGGATAAGATCCCACCTGAACTTTCTGTTCTCCTGGCTGGTCACTCTCAGCTCTCTCAGCCTCTCCTCATACAAGAAATGGTCTCATTACTTAATTGTCCTTAAGGCCTTTAGCAGGACTTGCAGTCATATGTCCTCATCTTTCTTGTACTGGAAAGGCCAGAACTGGACACAGCATTCCAACCACTACCTCACCTCAGGTAGCTGTCAATCCACCTCAGTGACCACTTATCTAGTTCATTCTTCACCAGTTTGTCTATTAGGATGCTGTGGGACATGCTGTTGCAGTTGTTAAATTCAAGATGAAAACCGCCTACTGCTCTATACTCATCCAGTTGGTCATCTCATCACAAAAGGATGTCAGATTAGTCACGTATATTTTCTCCTTCATAAAACCATGCTGACTACTTACAGTCACCTTATTGACAGGCCCCATGGTCTTGTGCATATTCAACTTCTTTAAATATTCCATAACCAGATTTTACTCTACTACCTTCATTGTTCCACATCTTCCCACTAGTCTCAGGGACATGGAATTCCTGAGGGCAAATCTTGCCAGCAAAACACAAGGCAAAGAAAATTTTTAATACCTTGGCCATGGTTGTCTTTATAGGGGTAGAATTTAATCTAGAATATGGGAATTAACTGGATACTTGGGCCTGAACCAACACTGAGACATTGTCTTTCAGATAGATTTCTCCAAAGGTGTTCATAAATTATTTAAATTACATCTGATTAAATCCTACTAAGCAATTGTTGGACTTCCCTGAAAGGAATAATACCCCTCTGCAAACTCAGAAAATACTTCTTCCTTCCACTGCAGATTCATCACAAGGGTGATATCCTGTGATGAATCTGAATATATGTTGTCTGGCACAGACCTGTGAACAGTAAAGCTGAACTCATCAGATGCTTCAAATATGTGAATGTGAGACTTACTTAGAAAGAAGAAAGTTGCATTTACCCTGAGGGATAAAAAGTGTGTGCAATGTAGGACAGAGGTACTCCTTCATATTGGAGGTCTTAATGAAGAATACCACAGCTCCATTAGGTATATCTGTGTTCCAAGTTCTTCAACCAAGACACATATCAAGGTCTCATCACCATAAGAGTTCAGACACAGCCAGATGCAAAATCAGGGTACATTCCAGAGCTCTGACATATAGCTTGAACAGAAAGATAGACGTCCCCAGTGCGAGGTCTTAAAATATATAACTTGTTCCTTTCCTGACTTTAGAAGTATAGGAGTGTAAAGATCTCCAATGCAGAAAGCAAACCATAAAATTCCAGCTGTATATGAGTATAAAGAATGAAACATTTTGTAGGTGATAACCTGGTATAATTCCTCTCCTACACAGAAGGGTAAGAACTGATGTATTTTTCTGTAAGTCAACTACTAATAAACTGACCACCCTTTCCTCAAACATGTAATTACACTATGACAATAAATAAATAAAATTACATAAGCATACATCTTCACTCTGTTTGGATGATTCTTTTACACAGTGAATTGTCTTGATTTTCATATCTTTCAAAAGGTTCTGACAGTCATGACAGGGAGGTTTGATGCAGTAAAGTATATCACTCTCTTCTATTTTGGACTTTGATCTGAAAAATATATGTATTTGCAAAATTAATTCATTTTCTGCAAAGCTAAAAATAATCTTTAAATTGGATTAATGGGTGAAGAACAGATGGAAAGGACAAAGAGAAAATCCATGATTACTCACTGACTTACTCACACTGCACACTGTTCACATCTATTGTAATAAAGAATGCCTGTAAAGTCACTCATTACCAGATTTGTAATAATAACCTGTACAGGAGAGCATTTGCTTCAGCATGGAGAACAACTTCCGATTTTGCAAGTTCAGTCCTTCGATTTTTTCTCCCTTTAGAGGGCAAGTTTGCATATAATATGCCAATGGGATATCCATTATACCCTGCCCCAAACTGCAAAAAAAAAAAAAAAAAAAGAAACAAATAATAAAAATCTAACAGATCCTTCCAAATATTTTAATCACCTACTAATACAGCTTTAAAATCTAAATATATGCTTTCTATATATTTCTAGGTACATCTAACTTCTAAATTTTTACAGCTATTTATATAAGATTTTAATCACATTTAACACTTTGCCACAAGCATCTCACCACCCCATTATGTTACCCCTTTCAACACAGTCAGGATCTAATTTTGCTTTTGCACAGTGAGGTCATTGTTCTCTGTCAATTTCATCACCATCTTTTTGTCTCTCTACCTGTGCAAGAAATTTAGGATCCTCCTTTTTAATGGGCTTTACTGACCTTTTTTTTTTTTTTTTTAGTTAAATGATAAAATATTATAATTACTATAAGCATATGTATTATGGAAGAAGGTGTTCATGAAGGAAATTCATCTCACTTAACTTCTTTATATGTCTACACCTGAACTAGTCAGCCTAGATTCCCTTTATATTCAAGAAAGTCTAACCAAGTCTACCTGGCCTATTCCAGACTCCAGATTAGGATGAATGGCACTCTAGACCTCCACCAGCTATGAAAGGGAGCCAGGGCAAATAACTCAGAAGCAGGCATCTACACTGCAAATATCTACACTGAGTCAAATAAACTGCACCCCTTTGAGCACAGAATAGAAATTTTACAACTGTTGGAGAATTCAATGTACTTACAAAATATCCATCCTGACTATAGAGTGTACACCCCACACCTCGGTTTGGATCATCTTTTAGAACAGAGAAAGATTTTAATGTCACTTAAAAACATACTTTTTTCATACTTTAAAACATATATTTACAGATTAACATGTAGAGCCTTAATACATGGTCGTTAAGTGACTGCTTATATGTTGAAAGAATCCCTCCATGCAGATACATTATCCAGTTCTAGAGAGATAACCTTACACAGTAACACAAGGCATAACCACTATCAAGTACAATAAATGGCAGATTTCAGAAGAACACTACAACTTAAAATCTGACTCAAGGTACACTTATTCTTTGATTAGAAATTGTAAAGTATTAGCTTGATATAAAATCTTAATAACAATATAAAAGGTTATAAAATCCCATTTATGAGATTCGCTGTAAGTTCACCTAGTTACATTAACAATATACTAAGAATGTTTAAATCTATCAATACATAATATTCTTTCCCCCCTCCAAAATGCATTAAGTGATAAAACATTATTTTCTATGTTTCCATAACATGTGTTTCCATCTTCTACTTTAGGTTTTAGCTCAGTATTGCAACAAACATTATAAACAATAACATTAAACTTTAGTGTAACAAATATACTAATGGAAAACATTTGAGCAGTTATGTGAGGAAAGCGTGACAATTCTTCTGGTATCCACATATGTTGTGAAATACTTACTCTTTGAAGTAGCTTAATGAATGAATCAATGGCAGTAATAAAAACCAGATGGACGGTAATCCATTCTTTATATTTGGTTACGATTCTTTATATACTTTCACCGTAACTTACCAGATCTTGCTGCTAAAAAATAACAAAGCTGCAATGCATGTCGATGAACATTTTCCTTTGGTTCTTTCTTCTCAAGTTGGGAACATTCCAATAAAAAATCATAGCAACGTAAAGCATTTTCCATCCGTTTGACATACATATCTTTATCTATGTTAAAAAGGGAATGATATTTTTCAAAGTCTTCAGTTTGATAACTGAACAACTTAAAATTGCTGTTTGGCTGTCCTTTGCATCGTGTTTTTTTTGCAATCATTTTCACAGTTTCAAAGCTTGTTGTGGGTAAGAGCACACTGCTACTTATATGACTTCCGAGAAGCATACAGTCAGCTTGCTGAGAATCTTCTTTAACCACTGAATCATTACCCTTTTTTTCAGGAGCTATTGGCCAGTAGTAGACTGAAGAAACTGAACCTAGAGACAAGCACTGAAAGTCACATAAGGTGCCATACAGTTAGGTGGGACTTTTAATTCACATGTTTTTGGTTGAAACAGTGGGCCAATTTTCTATTGCATTGCAATTCTGTGTATGCACTAGAGTCCAAAGCCTATCTTGTTACCCACAGGCTTAAGCCACTCCACTGTAATAGTTCTATATTCAATTCAAATCTCAATTTGAATATAGATAATCAGTACCTTACTCTCATTAATGACCTCCCACAGTTTGCGAGTCCTTTCCCATGCAAGCAGTCTCACTTATTTTTAAGAGACTATCTACATAAAAAAAGGATGACATCACTACTGGACTGAGCCATGTAGCACATTTTCTTAGGCATGATGTTTAGCGGGGTCACTTATGAATGTTTTACTCAGGTAAAACTGCAGTTAACACAGATAGATTGATTAAGAATGTATTTTATACCTTGAATGAGGAATGTTGTACAAGTTGAGCATGGTTTCCTTGACAAATATATAGTGTGGTCACGCAGAGAAAAGGGAAGACACAGAATGATATGTTGTACAGCATGCAGCCCAGGTTTGGAGAAACTCATAGCGACCACTTTGTGAACTTTGTCTGATTCACATATTACAATCCCAGTCTTATTGAACTGAAGGGGAAAAAGAAAAAAAGGCAGCTGATTTTTCACAGCAGATTTTATTTTACAAGTACGCAGATTCAAAAATATTCTCTAGGTTTTGAAACATTGTACTACATTTAAATGCACTTTAGACTTTAGTCCCACCATCTTTAGGTGACAACTTCCCTTTACGAAAAGTTAATGTAAATCTAGTATGAATTGATTTTTTGTTTGCACTTTTTCTCAAGAAAATTCCATTTAAGAGACACATCAAACCAAAACTGGAATCAATCAGAAAGATCAAACTCTAGATTTCTAAAACACTCTCCGAAATATTTGTTTCTTTTAGCCAAATTTGTTCAAGCATACACACACACACATATATAAAGGTAGGTTCTTCATAAACCTGTATTAGCTGTGGTAGGAAAAAAGAGAAAAACACATTGGCATTAAAGTTAATAATATCCCTAGATACACCACGCCACCCCCCCCCCCCCCCCCCGGTAGATCCACTACAGAGTATAATTTACCTTGTGCACTATTGTAGCAACAGTGGGCAGTAGAATACCTGCATTACACGGATGTACAGGAGATTTAAAGAGTGTGGACACTCATTATATAATAATCACTACAGAGTAACTTAGATTTTAATTGGAATCCTAACCATTTGGAATCCTAACCATTATCATAGAATCATAGAATAGTTAGGGTTGGAAAGGACCTTAAGATCATCTAGTTCCAAAACCCCTTCCATGGGCAGGGACACCTCACACTAAACCATATCACCCAAGGCTTCCTCCAACCTGGCCTTGAACACCGCCAGGGATGGAGCATTCACAACTTCCTTGGGCAACCCATTCCAGTGCCTCACCACCCTCACAGTAAAGAACTTCTTCCTTATATCCAATCTAAACTTCCCCTGCTTAAGTTTTAACCCATTACCCCTTGTCCTGTCACTACAGTCCCTAATGAAGAGTCCCTCCCCAGCATCCCTATAGCCCCCCTTCAGTTACTGGAAGGCTGCTATGAGGTCTCCACGCAGCCTTCTCTTCTCCAGGCTGAACAGCCCCAACTTTCTCAGCCCATCTTCATACGAGAGGTGCTCCAGTCCCCTGATCATCCTTGTGGCCCTCCTCTGGACTTGTTCCCAACAGTTCCATGTCCTTTTTATGTTGAGGACACCAGAACTGCACACAATACTCCAGGTGAGGTCTCACAAGAGCAGAGTAGAGGGGCAGGATCACCTCCTTCGACCTGCTGGTCACGTTCCTTTTGATGCAGCCCAGGATACGGTTGGCTTTCTGGGCTGTGAGCGCACACTGAAGTTGGCTCATGTTCATTTTCTCATCAACCAACACCCTCCACAGGGCTGCTCTGAATCTCTTCTCTGCCCAACCTGTAGCTGTGCCTGGGATTGCTCCAACCCAGGTGCAGGACCTTGCACTTGACATGGTTAAACTTCATGAGGTTGACATCAGCCCAACTCACAAGCATGTCGAGGTCCACCTGGATGGCATTCCTTCCCTCCAGCATATCAACCAAACCACACAGCCTGATGTCATAGGCAAACTTGCTGAGGGCGCACTCAGTATCCACGTCATGGAGGTTATCTAATCCACCTTCCCACTCAGAGCAGGGCCAACTTCAAAATTAGGCCAGATTATTCAGTTCTTAGATAACGTTTTTTGCCTCCTCTGTCACAGAAGCAGTTGGAATAACCTACTCCAGGTGATCATCTACAGATTCAGCAGTACTGAAGTTCAGTAACACCTGCAGGGAGCCTCTCACCACATGAAGGTCTGCTCCACTTGCCCTGACAGATGCCTGCATGAGAACTGAATACCTTGTAATATTTTTCAGAAAAGAATAGCAGCTTTGGGATTCACTAACGTCTTTCAAGAAGACTGTGAACATGCATTGCTGTAAATTTCTCAAATAAATAATAGCATTAAGCAAAGCAAGAATGAAGAAAATAGAGATATCTGCAGAGATTTATTACTGACCACCTGATCAAAAGGTAAAAGGCTGAAGTGCCTTTTTTTGTTTGTTTGTTTTAATCCTTAAAGCAATTTTCTGATGCATTTAGGGACCTTTTGATAACGGTAGACTGAATTCTGGAGATAGCAGCTAGAAAAGTAATATGTTCAGGACATACCTGCAGCTATGAAAGCATACTGCAGCCTATTTTTATTACAGCAATGAGTGAGAAAGCAGATACTTTACATTTTATTATAACACAGAAGAAATCACCATAAATCTGAAAATGAAAAGAAATTCTAATAAAGATTATGATGATGTTATACGTAAGAAAGGATGTTGTAAAAATAGAATTATGATAATGATTTCAGAGAGATATATAACAACAAATTTAAGCAACTTTTAGGAAATCTCTTGGAAAAGTAGTCCAAGGACTATGAGAGTCTGACTTAGTAGAAGACAATCAGCAGTAAAATATCCTGATGTAAGGGAAAAGTCAGTAACACCATGAGACCACTTTGGTTGTAACAACAGGTCTTTACCAAAAGTAGAATCAGAAAATAAGAAAGGAAGTAAAGGCAATGTAAGAATAAGGATAAAGGAAGAGTATAGCAGATACAGGTAAAAATAGAAAGACTAAATTATTGAAAAAATACAGATGCTTTCACTAGCAAGGGATACAAAAGGCAAAAAGAAAAGGGTATATATAAAATCACAGGAAGAAAGTCAAAGGAGGCAGTTACATTACACAACAGGGAAGGAGAGCAAATAAGAATGCAGAAAAGGTTGCACAGCAACAAGTTGAAACTAAAACCAAATAAAACAAGATCCTGCTTTGGAAATATAAACTGCACAACCAAACATGATATAGAAAACATCTGATAGCCACAAGAGTCAGGAGACTATTGTGAACTACAGTTCAACAGACCAGCAACACGCAATGTTACTATTGACCTCCTTGCACAATAAACATTTAGAGGAATCGCACAACTGTAGTTACTCGATCTGAAGCACAAACACAGAAAACAAAATACAACAAAAATCTAAGAGAAAGACTGAAGCTTCACCTAAGAAGGTTGAGCAATTGCTCCTAGAAAAGTTTGAAGATCAGGTTAGACAAGTATCTGATACGGGTGGTGTGATTTGACTTAAATCTGCTTCACAGCAAGGAAATGGATTAGATTACTTCAGGCCATTTTTATGATTCCATTGCTTTACATTCAAAGCTGGTTATTATTATTAGGTCCTCTATCAGATCAATTGTTTATAAATTCAGTAGTATTTAAGAAGTAGTTCTTAAAGTTTGCAGAAGTGTCGCCATCACTGTTACCATTACCTGATAATTTGGTCCCTGTGTAGTATTTTATTGATAGTTTTATAAACCATTTTCAGATGACCTGGAATAGGAAAAACTTTCTACACAAGCCAATCAGCATATGAAGTTGAAGATAAAATATTTAATATTTTCATATTCACAACTATAATTAAGCTAGGGTGCATTTTAATTGTGGAAATAAGAAAATGAATAAATAATAAAATGGAGTGTGCTGTTTCTTTTAGAAAAGCACAATGGCTCTTAGAGTGTCTGGGACCAATATGGCTATCACCATCCAACCCTGTTCTGCAAAGTCTGTCACTCTTGTCCTGTGAGGAAAGGGCTAAAAAGAGCTCTGCTTAACACGCTACTGCTGCCATAGCTGCGCTTAGTACTGAGAAAGGTTTCAGTTTTCTTTCACCTAACAAATGCTATCCCTAAACTGATCCTTATGTGAATGAGTTCACAGCCTATAGCTCTGCTGAGATGATCTGAGGAAGACTCACAACACTGAAAAAGTCTGGCACACGAAAGAAAAGGTAGAGTTGCATGCTGGTCTTGCTACTATGTGTGATAGGTTCTATTCTCATAATATAAATGGATAAAGTACTAAAATGTCTTCAGAAACAGTCACACAAAGAACTGTACTCCCTGAGTTAGTAACATCCCCAAAGAGAAAACACTTTGCCACTGTGCATGCTGTCTAGTACCATTCCAGCTATTGACAAGACTGTCAATTTGAATATATGAGTCTTCTTTTAGCTGGGTGTTTCACCTGCTTTGTGCCATACCCAAAAGCAACGACAGCTCTGGCTAAATCACTGAAACTAGGTGCATCTCCAGGACCATCAGGAAGAGAAACTGAATCTGGTTCAGTACCCACAGGAAGGACAGAGGAAGGCCAACAACTGCCTCATAAAATGATTTACTACTTTAAGTCAGAGGTAAACACAAATACTCTTCATAATGTCCCTACATGTAGAAAACTGGACATCATTTATCCCCATCTTTCAAGCAGGAAAAGCAACCACATGACAGTGCCACTTTTCCCAGGCAATCCCCTTCCATTTCTATGATCCTGTGTTTCTATGATTCTACGATTTCATTACGGTATTCATGAACAATTAGGACATGACACTATGCTTCAGCAGTATGACACAGGGAAATGAAAAAAAAATTGGTATTAATCAATTCTTAGGAATCCAGTATCTTTATGTAACATTATTAAGATTTCCATGAAAACTTTAACAGCATGGCTTACTAGCAGTAACTTTCAAAACACAAGACTAGAATGGATAACCTCATCAGATTCACTCCACCATAAAAGTGGCGATCACACAATAGATGTTTATGAATGTTTTGTTTGATGAATGCCATAAGATGTTTTAAAGGCTAATTCTCAGTAAAATAAGCAGTAAAAATACTTCCTAGCAATGATACCCTGTTACATACCTCATCAGATGGGGCATGACACTCCGGAGACTCCTCCATAAGACGAGCTAGAAACATGCACAAATCTTTCTTTCCTAAGCGTATGTATGGATGACTCTCTGAACAGGTCCAAATAAAGAGGTCATAATTAGTAGGCAAATTCAAATATGGTCAGGCTACAGAAAAAAACACTGCTGATTACTGCACTTTCACTAATATAGGAATGAAAGCAGAGTATTTCAATAAAGAATACAGAATTATTTCTTTTAATGTACTGCACATATAGATTACCTGTCAGAAAATAAGTGACACAGACAAAAGCTTGTGGTGGCGTTGCCTAAGGAGCACACCACTTACTGCTAAGGAACACACCACTTACTGCTAAGGAACACTTTGCTGGTTAACAGCCCTAAAGCAATACATACCATGACGCAAATTACAAAACCAATAAGTACCACAGAAATTAGTACTGAAAGAAGAGCTCTGGGCTGCGATTAAACTCCTGCTGCTGCTCATTCCATGTACAAAGAAGTAGTCAAACTTAAGTTGTGATGTCCTGTTTTTGTATTATTTCTGAAGCTGAAGAGATGTTCCTGTTCCAGTTGGCTATATCGAGATGATTAACTGGAGCAAAGAGATACAAACCATCCTCCATGTCCTCAGCTCCAGAAGGTCTCATTTTCCAAGTTAAAAAAAGTCTTCCTTTTAACTTACTTTTGAAGCATAAGCACTGTAGTGAAGAGGATATACATGTACGTGTGTGTATATAAACATGTAAGTTATTTGTCTTTATTCACATTTAAAAAATAATAAACACCCCTCACCCCACATAAAAGCAAACAAAACATAAACTGTTATCTTGTATTGCCAATCCCCTTTCTTTTTGTCAGCACAATAAACCTTCAGGAAAACAAAACCAATTCATACCATCCCTGTGAAGCATACAACTACCAGTCCAATGACAGTTATGTCACAGCACCTGCCCCCATTCTTACAGAATACCACTAGCACAACCATTATTTCCCACTGACAGATACCTCAGCACTTCAGGATTTACCTCACTGATCCTTAATGGACTTTTCTGGGGTTGGTTTTTTTTTTTTCTTCTTCTGTTATTTTCCATCAAACCCTCATTTTTTTTCCATCATGTTTATCCCCAGTGTGGTATAACAGAATGATTTTGTACTTCACTTACCTGCGCGCTTGTCAGCAGTTAAGTCTTCGATGCCAATAACTTTCAAGTGGTGAAACTACTGCTTTTATACTTCTCTCCTGTGAGTCATAGTCCTGTACACTCTCTGTTTCGCTTTTGACATTGCCTTTGACCCACCCTGTCAATATTTTTATGGCATGCGGATATACAGTTTGCCAATACTTTCCCATGTAAACAATATACAAAGAAAGGCTGTCCAAGATTGGAAGGACTTGTTATAGTAAAGACTGAATGTCCCTAAACAATATTATTTTCCATTCTCAATCATGCTGTTCACACCGTTTTTCTTTAAACTACTCATGACTTTCTCCTACCACAGTGCTTTAGGGAAGCATCAAAGCGTACCAAGTGTAAAAATCTTTCTAGTATCTTTTACTACTGTCACTAAATCGAAGTAGACTCATTGTTTGGGTAAACTGAAACAGAAAGTTACTCAAAAGGAGGAATGACTGGTTCTGTAAAACATTAGCAAAGCAACACCGTGAACATTCCTCTCGAGCTGGGAGCTCCTGGAGGGGCACGTAAGCGGTGCAAGCCCTCTTACGTGCCGCCATGCCAGAAGAGATTTACTTCAACTAAAAGACAACTGGGAAGAACGAGGAAATTTATGGGCAGGTAAAACACATTGTGAAGACAATGAACCCAATTTCATATTAAATCCCACCAAGACAACATTTTAAACACTTGGGTTTTTAAAGTGTACGAATTCTGGATTTTGTGAGTGCTGAAGCCACGCTGCTACCAATTTAAGCATTTGGTACCCATGCTGCTGGACTCCTCACTCGAGGCCAAAAGCCTGATTTCCAACACGTGTTTTAGCCTGAAAGCAGCTTAAAATCCCGTTATTTCGGGTTGACGGGTTGAAAAACAAAACATGAAAGAAGAACCAACCCATGCCGTTTCCGTTTATAACTTTAATATCCCGAAGGACAAGCACTAGCACCGCACAGCCCGCCACCACCCTCAGCGGCAACCCTTAGCGCCTTTCCCTGACAGAGTACTCCTTCACACACCCAGGGCCCCGCCTCCCCGGGGCGGTGCAAGAACCTCCTCCCCTCAGGCGAGCCGGCTCCGCCCACTCCCAGCGGTCCCGGGGCAAGATGGCGGCGCCCAGGGTACTACCGCAGCGGTGGGGCCGGGCGGCGGGGCTGTGGGGCGGCCTGCGCCAGGCCTCGCAGCCGCTCTCGTTCCGTCTCCGGCGGCGAGCCCACGAGCAGCCGCGGCGGGCGCGGGGTGCCGGCGGGATGCTGGCGGCGCAGTGCGAGCGCGGGCTGTTCCAGGAGGTGTTCCCGGCGCAGAGCGCGGAGGAGCAGCTGCTGGAGCTGCTGGAGCCGGGCCGCCCGCCCCTTACCGCTTACTGCGGCTTCGACCCCACGGCCGACTCGCTGCACGTCGGGCACCTGCTGGCCGTCATGGGGCTGCTCCACTTCCAGCGCGCTGGGCACACCGCCATCGCCGTGGTGGGCGGGGCCACGGCGCGCCTCGGGGACCCCAGCGGCAGGGAGCGGGCGCGGGAGCCGCTGCCGGCGGAGCGGGTGCGTGCACACGCGCGGTCTCTGCGTGCCGGGCTGGAGCGGCTGTTCGAGAACCACCGGGAGCTGTTCTGGGCGGCGGCGGGCGGGAGGTCGCTGGGCCGCGCCGTGCTGCTGGACAACTCCTGCTGGCTCGACCGGGAGCCGCTGCTCGACTTCCTCGGCGGCGCCGGCGGTCGGCTCCGCATGGGCACGCTGCTGAGTCGGCAGAGCTGCCAGGCGCGGCTGCGCAGCCCCGACGGTATGAGCCTCGCCGAGTTCCTGTACCCCGCGCTGCAGGCCTACGACTTCCTGCACCTCCACCTGCACCACGGCTGCCGCGTCCAGCTGGGCGGCGCCGACCAGATGGGCAACATCATGTCCGGCTACGAGCTCGTCACCAAGTACGGCGGGGCCGGAGGGGCGGCGGGCGGGCAGCGCAGGCGAGGCGAGGGCATCCCGTCCTGCCTGGGGTTCGGTGACGGCAGGGATGGGGCACCGGGAGCTGCAGCTCCGTGCAGGGCGTCCGTCAGGCGTCGTGTCACTGCAGGGTGAGGGCATCAGGTGTCCTAGCTCAGAGGCAGGGTCAGGGCATCCATCAGGTGTCCTGTGCAGCTCTGTGCAGTCATCTGCACAGACACCCTGAACTGCACAGCTTCTTGTTGAAAATCCCTACAGCACGAGGAACAGAAGTTGCCGCTCCGAGAGCTGGCATTGCATAAAATGTGGGATATGAGAAGAATAATGAATTGTCCTGATGATAAGACTGGCACGTATGGACGTTTTGGCCACGGTTTTAAGACTTTTTCATGAAATGTTAATGATTTTTTTAACCAAAAGGATGGGTTCCTTTATTAATTAATCAGAGAACCAAAATGAAGTATCCTAAAGCACAGGACAATATTGAGACGAGTCTTCTGCTAGCAAACACATTCTAGTGCGGTCACACCAAGGTAGAGCAGTAGTGGATTGGTAAAGACAGTTGCATTTCTTCTCAAAACCTGATGATGCTGAGCTTTTGCTTATCCACCAAATTTGGTGTAAGTCTCAGAAAAATTGGCAGGAGTACACAAGCAAATCATTTGAGTATGGGTGACAATCGGAGACAATGCTTTTACTTCACCATATGCTGGACTATTACAAGACAGAGAATCAACACAAGAAAAGCCTTACAAGTGTCCCAACCACGCAGGCAGCCTCAATTAGTGCTTTGAGCAGAAAACGGAAGGTACAGCATATCTCAATTTGCTAGTGCTGTTGTTCATGGAATTACTTAAGTACATCAACTTCTTTGTTACACACAAAAGAATGTGTATTTTTAAATTCAAGGATTTGTTTGTTTTTTCTTCCTAAAGCAGTCTTCACCATATTCTGGCATTATTTGCTCCTCACACTTCATCTTATTTAACTGGTTTGTATCAAGGATAGAATCTCAGAGGATGCTTGTATTTTAGTAATCTTTACCAAGAGGAGATTTTATTTTTGTAACAGTGTTTTTACAACATGCAGTTACTCTTCTCTTTCTCAGGATGACAGGGACAGATGTGTTTGGAATTACTGTACCTCTTATTACCAATACTACTGGAGATAAACTGGGAAAGACTGCCGGCAATGCAGTTTGGCTAAACAGAGATAAGACTTCTCCATTTGAGCTGTACCAGTTTTTTGTCAGACAACAAGATAATATAGTTGAAAAGTAAGTAGTTTTGTTTTTTTTTTGGTCATTGTTCCTAAAAGCTGTTCTTTGTAACTGTTTCATTTGGATATGTGAAACACAAGGTCCATGTAGAAGTAAATGTTAATTATAACTGTACATTCATTAAATAAACAGGCATGACTGGTTCTTAAGTATATAGGATAGTGGAACCTGTCTCTATATGCTAGCATATGCATCATAAAATGAGAGTGTGGATGAACAAGAAAGCACTTTCTTCTGCCAGTGGGGTGACTTTTACGAGGTATGTTCGTTTCAGTACTGTAACATCACAGTATCAGTGAAATCTCTCCCGCTGATTAATAAGTAGCTTCAGCTTAATAGATATTATCACAAGTTTTTACTTAGTACAAAGTATCCAGAAATACTACATTCAGATAGCAAGAAGCTACTTAACTGGTTACAAACAAACATGTAAAGTTCAGCTTCTAGAACCACATCACATGAAAGAGTGCATATCCCTAATCAAATTTAAGTAGTGTCTTGTTAAGAAAAAGCCAATAAGTTCATATTTATGATTATATTAGCTCTCTAAGTCAGTGATCTCTAGACTTTTTTGATCATGTGCCCCTATCAGTAAAATAATTTTGAGCATTCACTCTCAGTACATGTATGTTTGTTTATTTATAGATTATATAAATGTACTGCTGAAGCTGTAATATTTTCTTCCTGCACCCTATTGGATCATCTTGCATACCTTCTGGGGTGCTGGCACCCTGCTTTGAAGATCACTGATCTAGATAAAAACATGCCCGGGAGACAGACTGTGGTTGTAGTTCAGGTAAAAAGGGGAAAACATTATACCGTTCTAAGTCCACAGCAGGGAGTATACAGGGTAGTGTACACGGAATTCGTAAGGTAGAGGTTTTCTGGGATCAGTTTAAAGACATTGAAAGTACAAAATAAGGGAGAGGAGAACAGAATGGACAGCCAGTAGGAGTCAGCATCCTAGGCTACAGTTTGGTAGGATCATAGAATGGTAGAATGGTTTGGGTTGGAAAGGATCTTAAGATCATATAGTTCCAGTCCCCCCTGCCATGGGCAGGGATGCCTGACCCTAGACTCTGTCACCCAAGGCTCTGTCTAGCCTGGTCTTGAACACTGCCAGGGATAGAGCATTCACCACTTCTTTGGGGAACCTGTTCCAATGTCTCACCACCCTCACAGTAAAGAACTTCTTCCTTAAACAGGGGAAGTTCAGATTAGATACAAGTTTAAGCCCATTACCCCTTGTCCCATCGCTACAGTCCCTGATGAAGAGCCCTAGTAATGTGACTGTGGTAAAAATGTCATGCAGTTTTGCCCACTTGTGGAGAAACGTAACATCTTTTTCTGTCCATGTACCATAACTCATACAAGCATTAATTAAAAACATTTAGATGGTGGGAGGAGTGCTTGTTACATAGATGACCAGGAGTACTAACATGGTGGAACCCTAAGGCTGTTTGATAGCTTGCATGGAAATTTTAGTGGATCTTTTTAAAAATTGCAGATAGGAACAATTTGCATCATCCTGACTCAATGTTTGACAGTTTCATTGAAGTTAACTGTTCAGCTTCCCCATTTCAGAATGTGGAAGCGAAGACTTCTGCTTACAATTATAATGGCAAGTGGATTGATCTGTAAAGAAGATGAGACTAATACACCAAAACTTTGGAAGGACATCCAACTACTGCTTAAAGGAGTAGAATGTAAAAAGACAAAATTCTGAACTGTCATTACTTGAGGCAGAGCAACTCCAGTGAGCTAAACATGGTCTTCTCATGTTCCTGAATCCAAGTCAACCACACATAACTTGCATTCTTACTGCCAAAGAATGTGTAAAAATATTTAAATCAAATAAGAACACAAAAGGGTAGGGAAAATGTGAGGAAATACCATTTTACCATTAGAGTTTCCTTCACTGATGGCTGGCCTCCATGCTGGTGTGCCAGGGACATGGCTGAAAATAAAAAGCAAATAGCTTTATTCAGGGCATTACATAAACTTTAATAAGTTGCTATATGCTCCCTTTTAAATCTGCTTTTAACTTCAGTATCACTGTCAAATCAGTGTCTTCATAAACTTCAGACAGGTTTCACATTGTGACATGTCTCGTAACTCAGTTACCTTTCCTAAAGGTTTATTGGCTAGTATTTCTGACTTCTGCATCCATAGCACTTTTCAGACTGAAAAGAAGGGTGTGTGGGTATTTAATGTTACAGTATTTCATGTGTTCAGACTTTGTACCAGTACATTTTTTAATACACAGCATTTCATGGTACTGCAAGGCCATTAAAATGCATTTTTTAGTGAAGAGTATGGTTAGATACACACCTTTAAATTCTTGATTACCGTAAATAATCTTCCTGCTGAGATACTTGCAATACATCACATACTTCTGTCCCACAAGCTGGGTGTGGTATTTTGCATTAGTGTGTTTCGTAACTACTAAGAATATAATCTAAAGCCTTGTTAGTCGACACACAATTGCAGTAAGTCCTGTAAACATTTCAATAGAAAACCAAGTTGTTGATTGCATTATAAGCTTCATAAAAGCATCTCACACTGTCTTACGTCTGAAGACAATCTTAGGCAGAATATTAAACTAAACGTGAGCTATGCTGGTAAGTGAAAGCAAGTGAGCAAAATCAAAGAGTTGTTTGAAAAGACAGAACATCTGTAATACAGTTTTCTTAAATTGACTAAGAATCATTTTAAATGAAGCTTGAATGACAAAGGCAGGAAATGTTTTAATTATGGCTATATAGACAAAATATTTTTTTTCCCTGCACATAGATACCTGAAACTCTTCACCTTCATTCCTCTTGAGGAGATTGACCACATTATGGAAATGCATGCTAAAGAACCTGAAAAATGGGGCCCTCAGAAACGACTTGCTGCAGAAGTTACAAAGCTGGTTCATGGTAGAGAAGGGCTAGAATCTGCTAAGAGGTGAAGTTTGATTTGTCAAGCAGTTTTCTTTCAGATGTTCATTGGTAATTATCCATAGCTTTTCAAGGACTATTTTCATGTAGCTAGTTGTTGCTCAGCTGGTAGAAGAAAAAAATGTAATAATTCTGTAGACTTAAAAATACAGTAACATTATTTAAAAAAATTGCAGAGCAGCAGATGATTACAACCAAAACAAAAGGGGTGTACTTTAAGTACCTCTTTGATTGTGTGGACCCTCAGAACAAGTTGGGGAAAGGAATCTGATGAGCTGAATAGCTCTTTGTGTGAAGATAAGACTAGCCCTGTATTTTGAATGATCTTTATTTTCACAGGTGCACTAAAGCCCTTTATCACAGCAGTGTGGAGGCATTGGAAGCTATGTCTGACCAAGAGTTGCAGGAACTTTTTAAACAAGCTCCTTCAGCTGAATTGATGCTTGAACCTGGAATGAATGTTCTTGACCTGTGTCGCAAAGCAAATGCCATTGCAGATGGACCTAGTGGGTAAGTTATCGCCTGTGCTCTTTGGCAATACCTCACTTGAACAGGTTAATAGTGGTATGCTTTCAGCAGTTAAATGAAAGATGAGGACAGCCAAGTCAGGTAGAAACAGGCTAACAATCTTACATACCAGCATTAAAAAGAGGGGAGCAAGTAGCCTTATTCCATTTTGAAGTGAAAGTAGGATAATGCAGCCTCATGTATCTTAGCTGTAAAATCTACACCTGATGAAGGGAGAGTCTAAGGTAACAGCCTGCTTCCTTATACCTCTCAGGAAGAGTGAGAGTTGTAAAGACTAAGGTTAATTTCAGTCACTCTTGACCTGGACTGAAAGGAAGTCCAAGATAATTAATATTTACTTAGTTATGGATCAAACAAAAAAGCTCTTAGCTGAACTTTCAGTACTTAACAATAATTCAAAATTTGCTTGTTACAGTTGATCTTGCAATTACCACTTTCCCTGTTTGGATTTTTTTAGGTACCAGAAAATTACACATGGTGGAGTTTCAATAAATGGGATTCGCGTAACTGATCCTGAGACTGTTCTTATTCTTGGACAGCATATTCTCAAGAATGGAGTATCGTTGCTTAGGATTGGAAAGAAAAATTACTACATTATAAGATGGCTGAAGTTGTGACAACAGAATGACCGATCATTTCAACTCTGTTGCTTGAAGATGTTTCTATACGGTGCATTAGTGCACAGCTCACAAATTGCCTGATACCATAGTTTCATTTTCAGAATACATCAACAGAGTTCCAATAAAGGCAGCTAATTTTAGATACTCTGCCGTACTCAAGAGTACTGTTTGCAAGAGGGTAGGCACAAGATGAAAAGATTAATCTCAAAGCCCACAGATGAAGATGCCCTTCCTGTCCTTTAACAACCTTTTATGTTGTAGAACAGTGGCCAGGGACTCTACAGCATAATACACAGCAAGATGAGGAAAAGTATATTCTCAAAACCAGTACTTCTTACGGAGGATGTATGCTGCTGTCCAAGTTTGACTTCACCCTAGCAGAGAAATCCACATAAGTGGGTAAGGACAACCAATCTACAAGCAGTGTTCTTTTCTGAACAAGTTTGGTTTTGAAGGAAGCTGCAGGATATTCACAATAAATGAGCAGAATGATTTAAGACCCATTACGTAATGCCTTATTGGTTATGTACGGGGGGACATTGTACAAAAGCTTTTTAGCCCTAATGCGAATTCACTTTTTGAACTACAAGAGAATATAAAGCCTTTCAAAATTTAAATCAACCTGATGAATCCCTCTGTGTGTTCTGTGTGCTTAGTGTGACTTTACAAAGTGGGTAACACTCATTCTGCTTCTTCAGTCCTGTGAATTACCAGGATGCATCTGTGCTATCTAGAATCTTTGTCAAAGCTATGCCTTGGTACTAGTTTGGTGAGCTGTACGGTTGGTTGCAAGATAATGTATTATACTAGAAGATTTGAAGCATGTATATGAAAGCTGTTCAGGTTTAGCTGCCTAGGAGTTGTGGGTGAACAGGAAAACAAGGGTATCTGGACTAGGAAATGTGAGGGAAGCTATAGTGCTTTTGCAATTATAATAAGTCAGACCTTTCAGATAAGGCAGGGTGCAAAAGCTGCACTTTTTTGTCTCATGAAAGAGCCAAAAGCAATCCTACTGCTTATGGCCTAGCCAACATTCAGAATTGCAGCTTCCTCGTTTTTGTGTTAAGACAGCGTGAAAGTGAGACTGTACTTCCAAGAGTTCACAGAATAGCAACATCTACACTTCAAGGTAGAATTGCTCCAAAACACCCCCCTACACACTCCCCATGCCCCTGTTTCAGTTACCTGCCACTACAGGTGCTTACACACCTGGAATGAAATGGCAAGACATGGTACTCCATGTCTTGCTAAATTCCCTTCCACTGGTGGGAGTTTGGTATTGGTTTGTTCAGGCAATACAGGTGCCATAATAGTTGGAAGCAGGTCACCTGAACAACACAGCCCAGATGTAGTTACCCAGTATTATTTGGTAACTACAAGCCCATACTTGAATTGCACAGGACTGGTTAACTGACTGCTAGAATACAGTAATGTAGCCAGCTGGCTTAGAGTGTTTTTATTAAGGGACCCTCTCTGCCCCAGCACAAACCCTCAGTCTGATTTATTAAGAAGTGATTGATGGCTTTGGGTCTTGACTGCAGTGTTGTTTTCAAGGTTTAGGGTAATCCTTGCTCTTGGGCCAAGGAGAATCATTTCCTGGTCCATGAACTCCTAGACAATGCTGCCTCACAGTCACAAGGGGAAAGGCCTTAATCTTGCACACCTGAATGTTGTCACTCAGAGTAAAAGCTGGTGATGAGTAAGTCATACTATTTCAGCTGGTTTGAAAACCACCCCAACCTACAAGAAGAATGGGGAAATTAGAATACAGACATTCTATAATTGGGTGGGAAGTTTCTGTTGTTTTTTTTAGGTAGGTTTGATTTTGTGGGTTGTCTGTTGGTTTTTTTTTTTTACTTGATCAACTTGATGTTGGCTTTATTTGCATTGTTACTCAAGATTTCAATAGTAATAAATTATATAGTGGCTTCCTGCTTATACATCAGTTTCTTCAGATTATTAAACTGTAATATAGTAGTACTTTCAGTAGCTTACCACATGGAGTTATTAATGTCAGTTTCTAGATCCCACTTACCTGCTTGATAGTGAGGTACCTCTATCTAATCACTGTTATATAAAGAAAATGAAAAATAGTTGAGTTATTCATACCTTAAAAAAAGGTAGCTCAGTTTGTGTTGCTTGTGACTTTGTCTTAAGATGCAGTAATAATCAGAACTATTCTAGAAAAAACATGGAGGGAAAAAAAAAAAAATCACACCAAAAGGTAGAAGAGTTAAGGTCATCCCCTTCATAGAGCAGCCTTGTTCCTTAAATGGCAGAAGCATTATAGCAATACAGAAATATGCACCTGGGAACAAAATATATTGGTACACACCCACATTAGTCTCCAGAGAAATACAAATCAGATTTGACAGCTACTTTCTGGATGCAGGAAATAAATTCCTAGTAGAGTAAATGTGTTTTGTGTGAGTTGTCTCCTGCCTTTCTTCTTTCATCTCTAAATGGTGCAGACACATGTATATCACCAAATTTCAGCTTTTTTTTTAAAAAGTATTAGTGCCCACTTTGATGACGCATTAAAAGGATTTTATTTATTTTTACAAATACAAAAGAGAATTAAATTCTTTGCATACAAGATTTTTAATAAGATCCACAAACTCCAAACAATTTAGCCCGTGCCTCCTCTTGACCAACTCTTAGCAATCCAAACCCTTCCCTGACTTTCCAAAGAAACAGCCTGATACAACCACTACTCTTTACAGCTGTACAGGGTCATCAGAACAGAACACTTAGGCCAACAACCAAGGATGACCAAAAAGTCCCAGTATTCTTTCTTAGCCTGGTCTCATTTCACGTATACTCCAAAGCAGGCCTGTTCAGGTAATTTGAGACATAGATGGTTCAAATGTAAACCAGTAGTAAAGTATTTAACATGTCTACAAATATGTGATTTGGAAGTAGAAGAAGTCATTATTTAGGCCAGGTACTACTAATAAAAACCAAACAAAACAACATTTGTGCAGTACCTGGGGATAACAAAACCTGGAGGACTTGAATTTAACATTCTTGTGGCAGCTAGCAAGGATGAGGTAAGCGATGAGAGGGTGTGCAGCAAAGGAGCTATGAGAGCATGAAAGCACCTTCACCAGTTTAAGTGTTACAGGGCATAAAACAGTACTCAGGTGGTCTATCCTGTTGTAAACTTCAAAGAATCATCCAGCTCTCACCTCAAAGCAGAGTTCTTGGCAACAAGATAAAAAGCACATGCTTTTGAGATCTTTAGTATCTACAGAAAGCACTAGCTAGCAGTTGCTCTCATAGCTGAACCATTTAACAAAAAAGCAAAATCCCAACAAAACCAAACCCCCAAATCCCAAGATAATTCAATTCAGGTTACCAAGAGGAGCAAAGCAGGATGACAAGTTGTTTACCTGCTTGTATTCCATAAAACAGGGACCTGAGTTTACAATATCCAGTCTGGCATCTTTCAAAGTCAGTCCTCCATAGAGTAAAGGCAAGTTTTATGTAGGTTTTGTTAAGCAAGTTTGAAGCAGCACACAGCCACTCGGTCTTACCCATCTATTCCACTAAGTGGAATTTGAACTGACTACTGAAAACCCCCAAGTAATTTATTGTCAAATTCTGTTCATAGAGGGATGCTAAGTTTTAGTTACAGTAATACCACACACAGGTCAGGTATTAATGTCAGACATTTACTTATCTAAACTTAGCCACAGTGGCTTTTCTCCCCCATGATTGTGTGTTTCACTGGACAGCAAGTTATTTTAAGCTAGCTAAAATTTGTGTATTGATGACAAGAGTATTTCAAGTTTAAACTAAGTAAGGTGGACTGGCAAACATTTGTAAAACATCAGTCTAATCTGGGATTTTTTCAACCACTGCCTTCATTACGTTTTTGGGGTTTCTTTCCCATGGTTTTCCCATAATTTCTTTTAATGGTGGCAATAACAGAAGCATTTTAAGTATTTTCAGTCAATATCAGACAAGCTGTTTAAAAACCATTAATAGCCACTAGAAGTGTGTCTACACTATCAGTTCTGCAACTATACAAGAACTAATAATGTAAAAGTGCACCAGGGCAAATGCAAATATACAAATACAAATATAGCTAGTTATGCCATTAATTTGTAAGACCATGTACGTCCTGCCACCGGAACTACAAGTCAGTTCAAAACTTTATTTCTGGGATAATTAATTTTGTGTATTATCTCTTTATTTAATATCAGGATTGTTACAGCATGGATTTTTAAAGACTTGCATTATGGATTTCAAATCATTTCTTGGCACTCAAACATTACCAAATTCATAGTGTCTGTGAAACAAAAAAGTCATAGTGTTTCAAAACAAATTAACACTGGAAGCTTCACATGACATTACAGATCCAGTTACCAGTTACAGGGTGTTTTTTAAATAAATGGAATTAATTTGCTTTCTGCAGCAGTATTTCAAAACTCAACATGTCAGAATATTTCTTCACAAGATACTCTTGACTGAACTTTGGGAGTTAAAGCTTAGGTAGCAGTTCACTTGTAAATGGCTCTACCTTGTTGCGAACATACTTCTTCCATGTCAAAAGGAAGAGAGGTGTCATGTGAATTCCAAATAGAAACGTACTGATTTTGACAACACTATTAAAAGCTTTTCCTGTTCACCGGAACTGATTTGAAAAGTGGCCTGCACTTCATTACAGACACATTTCTCTTAAACTTGGGAACTACCACCCCAGGATACAATGCAAGAAGTTTAAATTACTTCCTTTGTATTCATTACTTGTAATGCATACATCATGACTTTTTAGGCTGTTTAAAAATACAGAATATATTTTTGTGTTCCGCATGGATTGCTCTTAGGATCATGCATAAAGTATCCAAAAGCTGCATCTGTCAGACTTAAATCCTTTTGCTTACATTGATGCCTAACTGAAGACTACCATCAGAAAAATACATTTTTATACAGACCTTGTAAACTGGGGTCTTAGCAGGTGTTTTTTTAAATTTTCAATCTTTAGCAGCTTACAGAAGGAATTCCATTTCTTTTAACTGATGAAATGAGGAAGGAACTAAATATGGTATTAAAAATCTCATTATACTGGCCTACTAGCATAAAAGCAAGCCATGGGTGATAACAGCAGCATCCTATTTTTCATGCAAGTTGTGTTAAAATATCGGCAACACCACAGTAAACATTTTTACTTTGTACAAAAGTGAATCTACTTGAAAAGTACATGCAAGTGTGCTGACTGGATTTTAAATAAATTTTTATTCATAAAAATTAAAATTTTTTACTTTGTAAAGGCTAGTGTGATCAATATTTATCTGTATAAATTATAATCAGAAGAAAATAACTCATCAACTTAATTTCCAACATAAAATTCCCTCATTTTAGGATTGTCATCAAAAAAGGGGAAAAAACGCACGCTACTTACAGCACAATAGTATTTCCTCAAAAGTAATATGATCTCTGTTATAAATACTCCAATACAACAGACTTTCTGTCATACTGTCATACATTCCAAAATTTGGAAGAAGTTGTAGGGCTCCCCTTCTCCTTGGCCAACTTAAATCTGTTTTTTAAAGAAACACTTATTATCCTGTTACAGTTTTGAAATCCGCTTTTATTTTTCAACTCTGCCAGAACAAATTTACTATTGGACAGTCCATGGGGCTTGGTCCCAGGAGGGAGAAAGGGAAGGTGTTCTTGTACCCGATTATAATCCCCAACATTCATACACAAGATCCAGTGCACATGAAGTAACTCTGCACCTACATTTTAGTAGGCTGCTGTTGTTCGCAAGCTCCAGGCTAATTCTTCCTACACAATATTCCATTAATGAAGTTCCAAGTTTTGTCTGCAGTTTTAACATTTGAGGAAAAAAGAAAAAAATTGGGGACACACATATTAATACCGTAGACATCTCTACTGTGCTATAAAATTGATACCTCCGTCATAATGCATGCAATATAGTCATGAAAGAAAATACTTGGTGCTCTCTTCTCTTCACAGTATTTAAACTTCTATTGTAAAAGCAGCTTAAAACTATGCCACAAGACTACACCATCCATCTTAACCACAGGCAACCTGTTTAGCAAGTCAGGCACTGGAACTTTAATGTTTTTTCCCCAAGTTCAAATGAGACTGTCACTGAAACAGCAGGCTTGGTCTGCTTTAATTTGCTCCAGAAAGCTGGTAAGGAAACATTTAGAGCCATTTATTACGTAGATTAAATACAACTTATCAGCATATTTTTCTGTTTGCAAATCAAACCAGCTGTCTTTACATGAGCAGATTTACACAGTTGCAGTACACAGATGAAGAGTTCATAAATAAAAATTCTACTCCGTATACCATGCCTAGCAATTTTCAAGTCAATATAACCTCCAATGCATATAAATAGTATGGCTGGTACAGTCTTCACCACAGATGTGTCTCACGAATCTCTGCAATGATTTGACTGGCTCGCTGCAGGGCCTGCACACAAAGACAGAAAAGCCAAAGCTAGTTTTTGCGAAGAGATTTTTCAGAGAGTTAACAGCAGGAGTCTTGGGAGTATAACATTAAAAATCAAATTAAAGCAAATCATTATGAAATGAGTGGTACCTGCAACAACACTGATTAACAACTAACTCTGAAGCCTTCTATCTGCAAAAGATTATGCATGTAGAAAACACCACAAAGCAAAAGATAGTAACAAAACTTAGCACAGGTCTCATTAAAAAATTTCCTTAGGCAAGAATTAAAAATTGAGAACTAATCTTCCACTTAGAAGCAGAAAGAACTCATTGTTACCACTTTGAGCAACTTCTACATACTCAGTGTTCCATTAACACCTCTGTTTGTCTTAACCTTCTGTATTTATAAACAAATCTGCAAGAAGGGTAGATTTTTTCACCACACAGAGGTTTAAAGATTTAAACCTTTCTCAAAATAAGAGAAACTGCATGTATTTTGTATCATGTTCAGCATTCTGATGTATTCATTACAGTCTAGCCTGCTAAACTTTGCAAATTGAAAAAGCTTAGAATACCAACTAATACTAACATTATTTAAAATATTACTCCAAGTTGGATAAATCTGGGCTGAGTTTGGTCCTGTGAAGTTCACAGTTTAAGACACTACTAACAGAGAGCTGCCTTCACTCAAACACTGATCTTACACAGCAAAACTTCCTGCAGGCAGTCTTGGGCAAGCAGTATTCTCAGGATACCCAAATCCCTCAAACACGCAGTCTGACCACACTGCACATGAGAGAGAAGCTCCTTCAGTGAGCTGAACTGCCAGAAGGACTCTTTTCTCTGCAGTTCAGTGCAAAACAGCTTATTTCTGATGCAGATGATGCAGAAACTGATACACCACATGAACCATGAAGAAGCGAGTTCCGTTAACACGGACAGGTTAAAAATGCACTGTCTTACAGAGGCACACAGGGTCATCAAAAGTGAGTCCCAACATTCCACCATTCATATTATGGGGTGCTGTCTACATACACCAGCCATTGGCCAGCAGGCTCTGTGTGAAGCACAGACATGAACAGCACTTAAAATACTGTAAACTTAATCCCCCAATAGAGAACTGCTGAAAACTACAAAATTAAATAAAAGCAAAGTATTAAAACCAAATGTATAAAATTGATCAAAACAGCAGATTAGAGCTTCTGCTTTCTGCCCAAAATGTAGTTTAAGTCACTTCTTCTGAAGTACTCAATCTACATGACACTTTCTGGTCACATATTGCTTTTAATTCTGAGAGAGAAGTAATACAGTGGCATACATTAAAAGCAGCAAAGAGAGAAGGAAAGCAAGTCTTCAAAAAAATTTCACATTTATGTGGCTTCAACTTAATTAACTATTCCCATAAGTTCCTGATCTTTTTAATACCTTTAGCATGTCAGCTGCCTCTTTCCTGCGCTGTGCCATGTCCTCAGATTCCGTCAGAAGGTCATCCAGCAACAAGGATTTATATAGCTGGCCTACCAGCTCAC